TAAATCATATCTCCATTATGTACTTGATCAAAAAGCAAGTGCTGAATATTTTAAACAAAAACTTGCCAAAGATGATCTATTTCAATATTTAATTACTGTAAGAAAATAATAATGATATATATATATATATATTTCTTTAACTTATTTTTGTGGTTCACTTGTTTATCTAGTGGATTGAAGCTAATTTTACTAATCGTTTATCATTTCCCGATCTAACTATTAAACCATTACAACGACTTACACAATATAAATTATTGCTTGAAGCTATACAAAAACGAACACAAGATAATCAACAACGAAATGATTTACATGAAATGGTAAATAAGAAAGTTTGACGTCATTAGATGATCAACAAAAAAACAAACAGAATAAATGACAGGAATGGATTTAGAGAAGGGACAATTGTACCGATTCCAAAAGATTTCTTTTTTTGAGTTTCAAAATGTTATGATACTATCGTTCATATGTTTCAAAAAGCGTTTTATGATTATGATCGTCCCCTTTATTTCCATCGAATTATTCCTCATCATAAAAATCCTAGATCCACTACTGATAAATGTATATTGTTTTGCTGAAGAATACTTAGATATAATGAGAAAGTCTAATGGTTTGATTGTCGAAGATAGATATCTATAGATAATAGGGCTTTCATTACTTATTTTTATTCTTATATGATATCCTACATAAATATCTTACAAAACAAAAGAACATATTTTTTCTAGATCCAAAAAGTGGCCACTTTTGTCAATCGAGTCAATTCAAAATTACATAGTCAAGAACAAGAAGAACGTGTACGTCAGATAAGTGATCGCATTGGTCCATTCGAATGTGTTTCAGCACCACCTGAAATTACTTCCGTACGTATTTACTCTTATCATAATTGATTTATCTCTTTCTATTAAAACAAAAAACAAAAATATGATTTTTTTTTCTATTAGATACTTCAAGAATATTATCGTGATTCATATTCTCATCGATTGGATCTTCTTCGTGATATGCCATTATATGTACGAGGCTATCGTCGTCAGATTATTCAACAAGGCCCAATGAAAATGAAAGATGCAAAAAATAGTCAAGATGTTTATTGTTATTTATTTACTGATATGTTTCTTATAACAAAAGGTGGTAAACGAAGTGGTACAACAAATTCATCATCATCAACATCATCATCATTAACATCTATAAGTAATGATGGACAATTTAATCGTGGTATACCTACAACATTAAATAAAATTCTTAAATCACCAATACGTATTGATCGAATGGATGTTCGAGAATATGATCGTCGGGGTGGTGGAAGTAGTAGTAGTAATAATGAACCAAATACTGTAAGTCATAAGTTGTAATAAAAATTTAAAAAAATGTTTTTTTATTTTTTATTTTTTATTTTCTAGGCATCATTTGTAGCATTAGTCTTTTCAGAATATAATTTAATTGAATGTGGTTATTTATTTCAAACAAATTTAAGTAAACAATGGATTGAAAATATACGAACAACAAAAACAAATTTTCAATTATTAATGGAAGAATCAAAAATGAAATTACAAAATGCACATAATCATTCAACAACAACAACAACAACTTCAATATCAACAACATCATCATCAAATACAACATCGTCTACTATACATCAATCATTACCTAGTCTATCATCAACATCTGAAACATCACTTGATTTACCTGCACTTAAAACTGATGGTACATCTATTGATAGTTCATCAACTGATGAACCTATTGTTAATATTTCAACTGAATCTATACGACGTTCATCGAAAATTGAATCTGATGTATTTAAAATAGTTGAACAAACTCGACGAAATTCTCGTACTGATCATAAAAATTATGGTCGATATTTTACAGCTGATGGTACAGGTACACATGGATCAAATCCATCATCATCATCATTAATTAATCAATCATCAATTAAATCAACACCATCAACAGCAATTATAAAACGTATGTCATGGAATAATGAACCAATAAATACAAATAATTCAACAACAATACCAAATAATGAATTAAGCAATACAAATTCATTTCGTAGTGTACATAGTTCAAGTGGTGTTAGTTCAACTGGTTCATTTTTATTTAGTGCTGATGAAGAATCATCAATAACAACAGCAACATCATCATCAATACAAGTTCAAACATCATCATCATTAAAAAATAAAAATGATGATTTAACCGATGAACTTGATGAATTTGATGGTAAAAGTTCATCATCAACTGTTATTGGTACAGATGATCATGAACATTTAACAAATTCAATATTATCACAAGAACAAAATATATCTTCAATTGTAAATTCAAATGATTTAATTAATAATGATATGATTGATAATATAAATAGTCAACATCTAGTCAGTAGACTATCAACATCAAGTACAAATACAATAACATCATCAAATAATCAAACTATAATTGGTTTGTTAAAGATTTAAAATGAATTGATTTCCATTGAATTTTTCTATTGTCTTTTTAGAACCTGCTCCATCTGTTAATACTCATATGCCATCACCAGAACTGTCATTACGTCGAACACCATATGCAAGTGTAAAAAAACGTAATCAAAGTCATATTCATCATCGTTCTGGTCTTAAACAGCAACAACAACAACAAAATCTTTTTCGTCGACATAGAATTTTTGATGAAAACGATCTACGTTCTTCAACACATACTGTTGTTTACGACTCATCAAAAGCTAATAATTCATCTACAACATCTGGACCAATACGACGTGCTATAATACCTTTGGATGATAATAATTTGATAATATCATCATTTGGTGGAAGTGGAAATGAAAGTGATTATGATAATAATCAAACTAATACAGATTATTCTAATTTATCAAAATATTTACCATCAACATTATCATCAAAACGATTATTTAAAAAACCGGTGAATAATTTCAAACGATATGATGAATTAACACGTACAGATGATCTTTTATTGGGTGATCAAAATGAAATTATTTTAAATAATAATTCAAATATTCATTCAATAATTAATAATGATAATGATAATGATGATGATGATGATGATGATGACGATGATGATGATGATGACGACGATGATGAAGATTGTGATGATAACGATCATACAGAAGCACATCTCGAACTATCTGATGATAATGATTATGACGATATAGATGGTGTTGAAAATACAATTCTATCAACAATTGTTAATAATAATCCATCGTCAGATAATAATATAATATTATCGACTAATTCTCGTCAACCGTCATCAAATCATCGACTGAATAATGTAACTTTTATGAAACCAACAAAAACAACAACATTAGATGATAGTGCTCCTTCAAAATATCTTGGATATTCAAAAGATCCATTAGCAGCAAGAAAACTACTTGATATTCGAAGTCATTTGTTATTAAATACGACACTCGATGCAACGTAAGTATCGTTGTTTTTTTTTTTATATCAATTTATTTATTTGAACTTTTTGTTTATTTAGAGAAGTGTGACCATCATATAGAATTATCTTCTTTTTTTTCTGCTCTTTTTTTTTTGTTGTTGTTTCGCTGCTATATATATTTTTTTGTTCTCAGTTTTCTCATTCGGAAAAATCTTTTTTTTTTTTCTTGGCCTGTGTGCGCGATAAACAAATAAAACAGAACAGATTTTTGTATAGATTTCATGCATGTATATGCTTGTTTGTGTGTTTTGTGTAAAAAGTGTATGAATGCAAAAAAAAAAAGAACAGATTCTATCTGAATGACGAATTATATAAATATTTTTATGACAGTGATATCTAAGAAAAAGAACAAAAAGTAAGATCAACAAAAAAAACTAATCAAGACATGTAGATATATTCGTACGCAAAAACAAGAAAACAACAAGGCGATAATAATCTTCCAAAGTAGATTCCATGGAAAAGAAACAAATAAAATAGTTCATTGAAACTTATTTTGTTTTTTTCTTCCTTTCTTATTTATAATTTTATGGTTGCATGTTACTTTTTGATATTGCAATCAATGTTCCTATAAATGAAAAATTTTCTTTCTACTTGGAATAATAGAATGTAAATATCAGTATTCTCATTTCATGAAATAGATTGAAGTTAAATTACTTTTATTTTTATACATTGATGACGCCATTTGAATTTGACAGTTTTCTAATGAGCAACAGTTTCTGAGATTTATTATTTTTTTCGAAATCTTTCGGGATTTCTTTTTTTTTATAAATCTCATTATATATTTTGTAATCAATCAGAAGAAATTACATTGAGAATGGGAATAAGGACAACACTAAGAGTAAGGCTGATCCATATAGACTATGATTCTTTTTCGACACAATTAAAAATCGAATACATACAATTAATATATATATATATAAACTTGTTGGATTAAACAAATCCCAAAAAGACAAATCTCAGTAGTCTCTTCTAATGAAGAAAATTTGAATATCTATGAATATTTTTTGGGAAAAATGAAAATTCGCTGTTTTTGTTTTTTCATTATTGAATACACTTTTTAATGGCAGTGACATGGAGAAAAAAAATCAAAGTAAGGTTATTTGGTACGTACAAGAAGTCAGATGGACCAATATTTTTATTTTTGTTAATAAGGATAATTTCGATCGAAAAAAAAAGAATAAATTCAAAGAATTTTTAAGATGATTAAAATAATTATTCTCTTTTATTTGAACTATTAACGGATTAATAATTGTTGATGAATACTATAAACAACAGAAAAAATATTCATAAGGTTTTCTCTTTTCCCATATATCATACAGATAGTAAGGCTTATTATTTTTTCTTTCTTTAGTTGATTTGACGTATGAAGAAGCCAGTCTTTTTCTGTTGTGACATTATGAAACGGTATTAAAAAATACTTCGTTTATTACAGAGAGTCACGCATATATATATATATGTTAACATCTATTACTATAAAAGAACACATTTGAAAATAACATTCAATACAGATGACTTTATCTAAGAAATATTTTATTGTCCAAGTAGTTTTTCTGATTTATCTATTACATATGAGTAAGAAATAATCTCATATAGAGTTTAGTATTGAGATTATTCTTTTTTTTTTTAGGCTGTGCTCTTGAATGTAAAACATGTCAACAAGATAATCCTGATTGTTTATTAGCAGACAATGTTGAAATTCGTCAATGTGAAAATGATAACGATCGTTGCTTTACATGGTTTGATCGTACAGGTTAATTGAAATTTAATTTCGAAAAAATTCTTATTCGTTTCTTTATATAGGAAGTGGAATTAGCGTTCAACGTGATTGTATATCAACTGATACAGCTGATTATAAGATGATAAAACGATTGATTGGAACAAAAGATAGTGGATGTGTAAAACGTATAAATGGTCTGGATTGCTTTACATTTTGTTCGCTTAATAAATGTAACTGAAAAAAAAAAAAGAAGCTTTATATATATTCTGTTTTTCTTTCATCTTAAATAAATATACATTCGGTTAAATAAACATTGCTTCACCTTTCAAATAGTCAGTTGCCTGAATATCGAGTGCAAAAAAAAAAAAGTAAAAGAAATAGACTATGTCCATCATGCGTTTTTGGTTACGATCATTACAACAATCATCTATTCGTTATTCATCAACTTTAAATCAAATTATTGATAAACGTTTAAATTCTGAACTTGATTCTATTCGACAAGCAGGTACATGGAAATCCGAACGAATTATTTCAACAAGTCAAAGTGCACATATTAAAGTTGAACATTCAACAAATGATCTTTTAAATTTTTGTGCTAATAATTATTTGGGTTTAGCAAATAATAGTCAAATTATACAAGCAGCTAAAAATGCTCTTGATAAATATGGATCTGGTCTAAGTTCAGTACGATTTATTTGTGGTACACAAACAATACATAAACAACGTAAATAAAAATGAATAAAATTAAACAGCAAAAAAAAAAAAAGAGAAAACTTTGTGTTCGAATATTTAGTTGAACAACGTATTGCAAAATTTCATCAACGAGAAGATGCTATTCTTTATATATCATGTTTCGATGCTAATGCAGGAATTTTTGAAACATTACTTAAAGAACAAGATTATATTATTAGTGTAAGTAATTGAATTTTGTTTTTAACTATCTACGTGTGCAAAATAAATCAATTATCTTTTTCTTTTTTTCACGTCTTTAGATTCTTATATTTGATATCATCAGGTGTATGTTACATTATTTAGTCAACTTTGAGAGTTTTAAATTAGTTAAGAAACCTGTAAATATATGTTATGTGATTCAACCAAAATTTTGTTCTTTTTCTTACCGTTTTTTTTTTCATCTCTGTCTTTGTTGACATTGAGATTACGACGAGGAGAGAAGAAAAAGCAAAATTTAACGATTCTTTTTTCTTTATATGGTCTCAAATTTTATTTTAAGAGTCTTCATCACTCGATGCATTCATTTTATTTCGTAATTTTTCATGTTAAAAAAGATGAAAAAAAAAAGACTAAAACTAACAAAGTTTTCCTACAGTCACACAAAAGATCGTAGTACATAACATACAGATGTCTTAAGTAATTGCACATGTTTATGACTGATTCTTTCAACGTAGACTAAACAACAAGACATTTACCTGCTAAGGTTAAGCCATAGACGTCCAATGATATAATCGAAAACAAAAATCGATATTCTGTCTAATTGACAAAGAGGAATATATTTAAAAAAAAACACCCTCATAGAATAAAAAAAAACATGATAAGCAATAAACGACAGAAATAAGTAACTTATCCGTTAATAAATTGTAATATATTACAAAAATAACTATGAAAATACATTGAAAGATAAAGATTATAGAACATGACTCGAGTTCTCGATTAGGAGGATGAAGTTTTCCATTCCCTCAAACTGTCCGACTTTCTGCCAATTTTTTATAGTTTCATGGTAACTTTGGACAGATATCGGATTTTGAAACATCATTTGTATTTGTCTAGTAGAAAGTGACATAAAAATAAGTAGACAGTGTCGTTGCCAGGTGTTTAATATTAGAGTAGGCCTCAAGGGAAAGACGACCTAATATCAGATATCTGTTGTAGCAAGAATTAGGTCACCTTTTCTAGTACTCCGACAATGAAAGTACTTTCTGCAAGAATTTTTAGTCCTTCTAACTTATAAAAAATTTGAAAGAAATGAACAATTTAACATTATTTATCTAATATAGGATGAATTAAATCATGCATCAATTATTGATGGTATTCGTTTATGTAAAGCTAAACGATTACGTTATAAACATAAAGATATGTCTGATCTTGAATTAAAATTACAAGAAAGTTTTAATGATAAAAATGAAAATATCATTCGATTAATTGCAACTGATGGAGTTTTTTCAATGGATGGAAGCATTGCACCATTACCTGATATTCGACGTTTAGCAGATAAATACAAAGCATTAATTTTTGTTGATGAATGTCATGCAACTGGGTAAAAATTATATAAATTTCATTATGAATTTATTTAAAAAAAAAAAATTATTATTTTTTCTTTTTTGAAAAGATTTTTTGGACCAACAGGTCGTGGTACAGAAGAACATTTTCAAATGACTGGAAATATTGATATTATTAATTCAACATTAGGAAAAGCACTTGGTGGAGCAGCTGGAGGATATACAACTGGACCAAAAGCACTTATAGATCTTTTAAGACAACGTTCAAGACCATATCTTTTTTCAAATACACTTCCTCCGTTTGTATATTTTAAAAGAATTTTATATTTAAAAATTATTTTTATTTCTAGTTCTGTTGTAGCTAGTGCTATGAAAGCTATTGATTTAATTGAAAATGATACTAGTTTACCAGGTCGAGTACTTGAAAATGCTAAATATTTTCGTACAGAAATGCAAACATTGGGTTTTCAAGTATTTATTTATTTATTTATTTTCTTTGAAAAATTCATTTGTTTTTTTTATATGTAGATTTTAGGTGATAGTCATCCAATTTGTCCAGTAATGCTTGGTGATGCTCGATTAGCAAGTCAATTTGCTGATGAAATGCTTAAACGAGGAATTTATGTTATTGGATTTAGTTATCCTGTGGTAAATAATCTCAAAAAGGAAAAAAAAATGTTCGAATAAATTCTTCTTTGGTTTTCTTTCTAGGTACCAAAAGATCGTGCTCGTATTCGTGTACAAGTATCAGCTGCTCATTCAAAAGCTGATCTTAAACGATGTATTGATGCATTTGCTGAAGTTGGTCGACAATTTAAAGTGATCAAATAAATATTGTTTTCTTCGTTATAAATTGTTGAACATTCTCTAAATTCTTAGATTTATTGTAGAAGTAATGTATTTCTTTTATGAAATAAAGAAAAAAATCTTACAAAATAAAATTTTGAAGTAGTAAAAACTCGAAATATCAAGGTCGTTATTCTCGAAAAGAAAATCTTGATATCGGATTTTTCATGCTATGATTACTTTTTCTATTATGTATAGACAGTCTTACTCAAGACAAATTTTTCTTTCTTTTGCTCTTACATTCTGTCTTGACAAGATTAATATTTTGTCCATTTTCTTTTGGTTATATATCACAAATATCATATAATCTATTTTTCATTTATTCGTCTCTCATCAATAAATACTTAAGGTTGATGAAAAGTTCTGATAATATTAAATAAACATATACAAATAAAGATATATTTTTAATTTTTTCTTTTTATTAAATATTCAAAATATTTCGCCATAATTTTTTATACAAAGTTTCATACTTTCGAACAATTTGTTAAATGCTTTTTTTTTAAAATTCTTCTTTTGAAATATTTTTAATTATTTTGCCAATAATTTTTTATTTCCTTGATCCGCTAAATTATGTTTGATGTGATCATTTAGCCAAAAATTGCATGATAAAAGATCTGTTGAAAACTATGAATGCAACATTATATTGATACTTTCTTGTGTTAAATAATTAATAACACCTGGATGAGTTTGATATCGAGCATTGTCATAAAATAATTTTATATCTTTTGCATTTGACGACTTTCTTCGTTTTCATATTTTATTGACAATAGACTTAAGGCAATTTTTAGTATAATAATTGACTTGCGTCCAATTTGTCTATGATAAATCCATCTCATCTCGTTCAAATCGTCACTCTTCTGCTTAATTTGTTGGTCCATCTCATTCAGTGCATGAATATTTTTAAGCTCTTAGAAAAATATTTGATTACAGTTGAAATCGAGTCTCCTTATTGTTACGAGCGTGCTCATGCCATCTGTTGTTGTCGCTTAGTTTTCGAGTTTGATCTTTTATATTAAAGAGACGGCGCCATAAAAATAGTCATTAGCTAGAATATTTAACGGATAGGAAAAAGCGTGACGCCATCTGACATAATATACTATGGCATATTAAAATCGATCTCTTCAAGACTCAAAATATTAGTTTAATAGAAAAATTACATAAAAGTTAATAAAAAAAACAAAAAGAAGTAAACTGTTCGAACCGTTAGTTTGGATGAAAAATTGACGATACGGGATGTCTCATCATTTGTAATAATATTCTATAATCGTCGTGATCCTTCACAAAATTTTCACGACAAATTCTAACTCGTTTTTGCTTTTATTCATCATTGAGTTGATGAGGCACCTAACGTGATGTAACTTTTCTCATCTTTAGACAATTATCGATAATTCGTTTTATTGTATCATGAGAGAGAGAGCAGTCTCAGCTATAATATCATCATAAGTAGAATGTGGATTATTGTTAATAACCTGTCATACTATATAGTTCAATATTTATATCTGTCAACTGGGAAACTGAACGACTAGATCGATACTCATTATTGATATAATCTCTTCCTGCACGGAAACAGTTTGACTATCTTGTAACTGTTGGATCTGATAGAGTGTTAGATCTCAATGCTATCATAAGCTCCTCGTAAATTGTCTTTGCATCTATTTCTAAAATAATCCGAATTTGAATATAGTATCAATCGTATTCATTATCCATTTTTTTTGTTGTTGAAATTGGATGTTATCTGACAGAATATTAGAACTAAATTCAAAATAGAGTTATTATATATATTATTATCGATGAAACATTCTACTATTCATTCATATAATCGATTCTTAAATATTAAGTAGTTTACAAAATTGACAGCAACATTGTCAGAACTTTTGGTCATATCTAAGTATAATCTTAATTTGCACTCTTAACATTCTTCTACTTTATTACATCACAAAACACATTATAATGGAACATCTAGAATGTCATTTCTCATGAATTATAAGAACAAATGTTCTCTCTTGATTGACGGTTATTTTTATCAATGAAATAAATTCACAACGTAAATGAATTGCTGAATGTCATAGAAGAAGATAAATCTCGATGACCTTGTTTATGAAGGACTTTTTGTTATGTTAGGAACGAAAATTTATACATTATTATTCAGACAATTTCTTTAAAACATTATTCTGGAATCAGAAATCTGTTAAATTAAATTTCAAGTACATTTACATACTATCGGATTACCATAACCAAATATGACACTGTCAACTATGGAAGATTTTTCATTCGATATTTTCATTCTTCACAAGAATTTTTTTCGATGATTGGAGTTTTTTTTTTGCTTTAATAATATTGACTGTTTGAGGTTTAAATTTCTTGATGTTTTATCTATGCAAACTTTTTTCTTCCAAGCTGTAAAGATTATAATACAAAGTAAAATAATTCTAACGTTCTTCATTCACTGATAAGTAAATCATGATTAAACAGTACTTCATCATGCTTTATAAATATCAACTGAATAAACATTGTGTATTGCACCTGTATTTATCTATATGGCATGAATTATAAAACAAAGAAGGCTTGTAGTGAAATCTGACAAAAGAAAAAAAAAGAGTTTATATGTTAAGTCTGAAAGATTGCATTTATGAAACACCGATTAATAACAATACTATTAAGATGAATGAACACCGATAACAAAATGAGACATAGAAATTATACGAAAGATGCTGTAGTGATAATAAAAATAAAACGATTGAAAATGAAAAAGTGTTTTATCAGAATATCGTACTATTGAAAAATTTTGGTTAGTAACAAATTGAGTTCAATGATTTTATTAAAACAAAAGAACCCTATTCATACTCTTTGATTTGGCTTTTATTATCAAACACAAAAATAATTTTTTCATATTTTGTCCTCAATTAACCGATTATTTTGATAAGAATGTTGTTATGATTCACAATATATATTTTGAATGTTACTCATCAAAATGATTGTTTCATCTAGGATACTCATTTATTCTTTATTTAGATAGTGATGTGCACAAACCCTGATCGAAAAAAAAGACAGCACACCTACACTCAGATAAGACCCCCCCCCCTTCTCCTGTGTTAATCCACCTGAAATAGATATATAAATAGACACAAAATATGAGTATCACTCACACATATATCATTTGATACTGATCGAGAAAAGGACAAAACAAAGTATGTAAGACGACAGATGAAATAAATATATCTATACAATGCTTTCTATTTCTAATATAGAATTTAATGATGTCTAATGAAAATAAATCGTGGCCTGAATTTGTTGGTAAAGATGCCGACGAAGTTAAAAGTCAATTAACAGCTGAAGGTATTTTTCTACTTCTAATTGAAATTCTAAATATTCTATTCTTTTATTTAGGTTATCAAGTTGAAATAAAACCTGAAGGAGCACCAACTACCCGTGATTTTCGTCTCAATCGTGTTCGTTTATTCGTCGACGACAATAACGCCATCGTTAAAGAACCACGTACTGGTTAAACCATCAACTTTCTCTTCAATAATGAACATTTTTCTTTCTTTTTTTTGTTTTTTATTCTTCTTATAATCTTTATATTATTAAAGTTGAAAAAAAACGTGAACGAGAGCGTTACATACATATATTGTTATACAGATTATAAAAAATGAACAAATATATAATGGGAAACACATAATAATAATAATAATAATAATAATAATAATAATAATGGATGAGATTATATGTTACATTAAAGACAAAGAAATCTATAGGATTTTAACGATGTTTTAATGAAAAGAAACGATAGTTTTTTGTTTTCAATACAACATACATAATACTTGGACAAAAAAAAACATATAACTAATAGATAGTACAAAAAAAAAAGAACATGATTAATCAAATTTAGAATGACAAGAAAAGAAAAAAGGTCTCTCGCTCTTTGGTTTCGCACAATGAATTTTTTTGCTATTTTATAAAATTTTACAACCTGATTTTTTAACTTTTTTCGGCGGTTCAAGTGCAGCTAAAATAGCTTCGTCGAAGACATTCTTTAAACCTTTCTATAAAAGAAAAAAAAAAAGAATTTGTTTTATTATTATTATTTAAAAGAATAAATGTTTGTTTGTTTGTTTTTTGTCTATTCATACTTGTGTTAATGCACTACATTCAACATATTTAACAGCTTTTAATTCTCGTGCTGATTTTTCTCCTTGTTCAAATGATATTGCTTTTTGACGAGATTTTTGTAATTTTTCTATTGTATTTGGATCTTCTCGTAGATCAATTTGAGTACCAACAAGTAAAAATGGTGTTTTAGCACAATGATGTGATATTTCCGGTACCCACTATTTAATTATTTAATTTATTAAAGAAATTATTGATTTTTTATCTCTTACTTTTTCACGAACATTTTCAAATGATGATGGTGATACAACACTAAAACATACAAGAAAAACATCTGTTTGAGGATAACTCAATGGACGAAGACGATCATAATCTTCTTGACCTAAATTTAAATTAAAATAAAATAATTATAATTCATTTTCTTTGTTTTTTCGTTTGTTATTCTTACCAGCTGTATCAAATAAACCTAATGTATAAGGTTCACCACCAATCATAACTGTTACTGCATAATTATCGAATACCTTAAAATTATATATTAGAAACTTTAAAAAAGAAAAAAGGAAATTCTTACAGTTGGAACGTATTCACTTGGAAATTTATTAGTTGTATAACTAATTAATAAGCATGTTTTTCCTAATGAAATAAAATCATTATAAATAACATTAATGGAGAATTTTTATTTTTCATACCAACAGCACCGTCTCCCACAACAACACATTTTATTGTTTGCATTGTTAACAATCTCTTGTTTTTTATCAAGTAGGTATATATGTATATATATGAGTTTATAATGATGACGAGATGAAGTTTGGTCTGCTGAGTAAATAAATAAACAAATGAAATCAATGGATGTCAACGAAGTACGAATTAGAGAAAGAATATTTTTTTTAAAGGTGACCTCTATTGTATAGAGCGCTACAATCGAATTTGCCAAAAATGATTTATTTTCTTAAGAATCGTTTTTTTTATTTCTTTTTTTTTTTTTTCAATTAAATATGAACAAACAGAAAAAAACCATGTTTATTTCTTGAAGTTATTATAAAAGTTTGCAAGAACGTCTCTCTGGTTTTGAACGTCTTGTTTTTTGTTTAAGTGCAACCATAATTGCTTCATCAAAGACGTGTTTTAATCCTTCCTAGAAAATAAATAATAAACCAAAGACTTATTAATTTTGATTAAGAAAAAAACAATTTACTTGTGTTCGTGCACTACATTCAATATATTGCGAAGCTTTGATATCATTTGCTAATTTTTCACCTTGTTTACGCGTTATCGGTTTTTCATGTGATCTTTGTAATCTTTCTAATGTACTTGGATCATCTCGAAGATCAATTTGTGTACCAACAAGTAAAAATGGAACTTTTGGACAATGATGTGATATTTCAGGTGCCCACTATAGATAATAATAAAATAGAAATTAATTGTGTATAATTAAAGATTATTTTTACTATACTTTTTCTCGAATATTGGCGAATGATGCAGATGAAGTAACACTAAAACATACTAAAAATACATCGGTCATTTGATAGCTTAATGGACGAAGACGATCAAAGTCTTCTTGACCTAAAAATAATTAATCAATACATATACTAATCATAAAAAAAAATAAAATAAAAGTTTACCAGCTGTATCAAATAAACCTAATGTATATGGTTTTCCATCAATTGTTATTGTTACAGCATAATTATCAAATACCTAAATAAATACTTATAAGAAATATCTTCGAAAACATTATAATAAATTAAACTTACTGTTGGGACATACTGAGTAGGAAATTTATTTGTTGCATAAACGATTAGCATACAGGTTTTTCCTAATTTAATTAAATAAAAATTAAAAAAAACAAAAAACGATTGTTTCTTTTTTTATCTTACCAACAGTACCATCACCAACTATAACACATTTGATAGTTTGCGTATTCTGTTTCATTTTTGTTTGCGTAAACTAAAAAGTAAAAAAAGCGAAAATTGAAGCACCTTTCTTTTTTTCTTTTCACCTTTCTAATGCAAACATATATTTGGCCTGACTTTGATGACGGCTGTGTCCGATGAAAAAAGCATAAAAAAAAAGGATGAATGGGGAAATTTTTTTCATGTCATCTCACCAACGGCCTATAAACAGCAAGGAATATGTGTCAGAAAGGAAGAAAGTTAAGTTATGTTAATTTGAATTATTCAAAAACGAAAATAGGTAATCATAGGTATTCGTAAAAACTAAAAGAAATTAAAAAAAAAAAGAGAGAAAGAAGGTCGTTCTCTTACAGAAAAAATTTTTTCAAACAATCTTTACTAAGGATTTGGATATGATTTTTTAGAAATGTCAAATATAGTATTTCGAATACTCTATGAGAATATTGTAGTCGATTAGAAATCTTCTTCAAAGACATTGAAAATATCATGTTCAAACAGAAATAAGAAGTCAATGCGAAAATGATATATAAGAGCAAGAACAAAGCCTGTACAAATGATGAAAAACAAATGAAATAGAGACTAAATCAACTAAATCATTGCTTGACAAAAATCATATGTTTATCGAGTAAAGTCTATTATGTATATATTACCACAAGCAATAGAGTGATAATGAAATAAAACCTTTCAACAGTATTCCATCCAGTGCATTGGGATAAATATAATACTAAAAAAAGATAGATTTTGTGTAATTTCTATTCTATAATTTGTTTGTATATTTTATCAACAATTTTTTTTTCTCGTCAAAATTTGTAACGGATTGTTCATTAGTACCAAGTATGCTGATAGAATTGATCGAATCACTTTAACTAGATCAAAATTTAATTTTAAAAAATATCATTAATTTCATCAAAAATATACAAAGAAAAATAAAATTCTTATTTTCCATGTTAATTACACCAAGAAGATTGGATACAGAATAATAAACAAGGAAAAACTCCTAATTGTCTAATGGCTTTTTTCAACAAGTCTAATGGGTTACAGATAATTGACTATGCGGATTTCGAATATCAATACGAGACCAGTAGCTAGGACTCTAAAGAATCAGCTTTTCTTACCGAAAAACGTTTTTGATCCATTCAGATTGCAGAGAACGTTGAGTTGACTATAAAACACAATTTCTTTTCCGTTTTGGAAATATCATTGAGGTCATCAGAAACATAATTCTTTCTGTTTTACAGAAAAAAATAGCCTTTTTTTTTTATTTTTCGTTTTCTCAAAAACAATATGTTTAAAAAATAAATATCACTCGAACTTAAAATGGATGTGCATGATCAAATGAGCCTCGTATATCTCATCCTAAGTAATTGCAAACTGCTTGGATCAAATAATGAATAGTAGATATAATTTGTACTTCCTGTATTATGAAAACGAGCTACTAGCTCGTGAATATTGCACGTGACTATACATTTGCAATTAACAAAAGTCATGTACTCAAATACACTTCAGTGTAAAGTCATAGCATTAAACGAGTAGTAATAGTAGTATTGTTCAAATATTAGAAATTCTGTTGCCTCTAAACTTTCCCATAATCGATCAAAACCTGAAAAAAATAGTGTTTATAGTCAATTCAACATGTTCTACAATCTGGATGGGTCAAAAGAGTTTTTTGTTAAGAAAAATTGATTTTCCAGAAAATGAATCTCTGAAATCCTAGCTGTCGAGCTCGTATTGATATTCGGAATCAGCATGAACGATTATCTATGATTTACTAAATTTTGGCGGAAAAAATGATGAGACGTTTACAGGTTTTCTGTCGTAAGTTACACAGTATCATTCTATTTTAAGATTATTTGTTGAATTATTTATTATTTGAAGTCAACATTCACATTGTGTTTCATTTTTTCAAAAGAATACAAAATTTTGTTTCAACAATGAAAGATATTTGTTAGACATATTATATGGTTTTTATCATAATACTTCACCGACCATAATTGATTCATCTATTAGATACCGTACGTTAGTTCATACTACGTAATCAAATTTATATTTCATCTTTGAAGAATACAGCTGTACAAATTAGTCATTAATGTACTTTGAAAAGAAAGTAAATTACTATTCCGTATATGGACCATTTCAGGCAAAACGAACACATATCCACTTTCTCTTTGACTTTGATTCTTTACAAGGGTCCAGTTTTTTGAATAAGTTCTTTTAGCATAGACCTATGTAAAAATGTCGGATTTTTCAGTTGACTAATTATTAAAAAGTATTTAATGCATTTCTCTCTAATCATAGGAGAAAACAATCCAAAAAGTTAAGAATTGACTTTATAGCATCAATCGTATCTATGATAATATTTTCACCAAGATCGAACTTCAAAAAACTTCTTGAAACCTGTTTTCCAGAGCCAGTAGCAAGTTTCGAAACAAAAATTTTTGTCTTAACATAATCTAGAGATCTTGAAGAAAGGTTTATATCGTTTGGAATTG